TATAATTCTATTTAAAGTATCCCTCATTATTTCATTTTTGGGAAAAATCTGACTAGTTTCCGGAAACTAGTTGAACTAGTCTGAATCCGCCCCTGCTCAAAGTATATAGCAAAAGTCTCACTGGTCTTAAGTACAACCGGTTGCCTCCCTCTATCTGATAACACCGCCTTTCTCAAATATCTCACGATATGAGTAAAATGACACAAAAATCATCATATTAAAAATTTTTTACTGAAAGTAAGTTCGAATCAAAAGATTCACTGATTTCCCACGGCAACGATAACTAAAAGAAAACCATCAAACTATGGACAATCACGATGCACAATTAAAAAATGATTTCATATTTCTACCTAAAAAATATTTGCTTGGAAAAAAAGGAAACTTCATGCATATATTGAAAGATACTTTCACGTCTAACAATAAACTCAAGAACTCAAGGGGGTTACTACGAAGTGAAAATAATGCTGAGACTCACGGAAAACAATRGAGGGGGAATGCYAGCTCATGYTGMAACACGCCAAGTAAAATGAAAGTCACTTTGACCCTGTCGTTCACTAGTGTAAATAGACTGAGCGTCATTCCAGCATAAATGTATTTTTACAATATGCAAAGGAATGTTTTTCTTATTTGGTTTGAGTTTAACCATAAAACACGCTTCGGAGCATTCTTTTTAGCTGACTAAGTGCTGTAAGACAACATAGCACGAACTCAAAGTTTACAGAATATAGTAAATAATACATTTCTGAAAAAGGAGAGAAAGCTTAGAAATTGACATTTTATAACACTGGGCTGACGCGTTCGGAGACCATAAAATGTTTAAGCCTATGATATTCTAAAATTAAGCTTTTGTTTTTATGAAGAAACGAGGGAGGGGAGCCTGCTTGGCCTGCCAAGAGTGGAGAATGTGAAAAATCATTGTACTTCCAGGCATCGTTAATGCAGCAGGAATACATTGAAGACCAGTGGAGAACATTGTAAAGAAGTCAGTTAATTAAAAGCAGTCCAGGTACTGGATCAGTAGTCATGCTATCGTTGGTTCAAGGGAGGGGAGGTAAGGGGTATTAGGAAGGGGTAGAGGGAAGGGGAATGACGTAAGAAGCGTTACAAAAGAATTATTGATTGAGCTTTAGTTCATATAGAAAAACTGAATTCCTCAATTCAAGTCCTCCGTTCTTTGAGGTAAGATTGAAAAGTATCTTGAAAACTGACCTACTAGTGAATGTTAATAGACACATATTCTTTTAATTTGATGGCAAAAAATGAAGTTATAATTAAAGCTTAATAATCAAATATCTTAACTGAGTTTAATGGTGATGTAAGTAAGCGCTGAGGCGTAGGAAAACTGGCCAAACTTAAGCTATAATCAATTAATATGAATTGGATAATTTTATAGATTATTATGTTGATTGTACTGATAATTAATCGTTCAAGGTTTTATTCGTCGATTAAATCTTTGAAATATATTTTCTTTAGTTTTTTTATCAACTCTAGTACATGGTCTGTTTCTGTCCAATAATTCAAAGACTGTCAGTCGAACAGACACAAATTAGATTAGCAATTATGGGAGCTGTGTTAACTTAAGGCCCGTTTACATTTGCGATTTTTGCAGCGCAATAATCACCACTTTGCTATCGTGCAACTAAAATCGTGCGTGTAAACAGCCCTGCGGTTATTGCGACGATGGAAAATCGCCGCGAAGTTTCAGCCAATTTTCGAGCATGTTCGAAACTCAGGCGATGGTCGCGCGACGATCGCCGCCAGAATCGCCCTGAAAAAATCGCCAGTGTAAACGGGTCTTTAGATTTTGATTTCAAACAATGCCGTTTTGTCTCAGATAAGTTATTTGTTAATAGTCCGCAAAGTTTAGCGGTAGAACACAAAAATATAAATCAAACAAAATTGATGGCAATACCGTACATGAATGCTTAAAAAATTCGTACAGGGATCGATTAGCTATTCGGTTTTCATAATTTTCGAAGAAGGTGAATCCAAATGTTGTCCTTTTGACAATAGTTTATTAGCCAGTAGATTCATAATCGCGAAAGTATCGTTTTGTATAAAGCAGATTGGTATGACGTTTGAAATGATTTTTAATTCTGATAAATGTGATATTTAATAATTGTATATACCTGAATATTGTTTCATTTTTGAACTGAAATCTGTGGCATATTGCCAAATAGAGGAATAAAGTTTCATTTCGTAAATGTGAGTTAAAACATCTCAGACTCCCAGCTGATACAATAGCGTTGACGCAGCCCGAAATTCTCATGAGTGACAGCATATATATGAAACAAAATTTAGAATGTCCATACTGCGAGGAGTTGACGAAGCTGGAGGTGAGAGAGCCGRGAGAGTCTTAAAACTCTTCCCCTCATCAATATTAAAGTACCTATGAAGCCTTGCATAAATGTTTGCTGATTCTCTGTGAGCTGATTCTATATAAAGTAAATGATTGAATGGTGAAATTCAGTGTTGCATATTTGAGTTCAGTGAAGGTTGAATCTTGTAATATGCTAATGGTAATGATGTCATGGAAAGTACATCGTGATCACATTGAAAACCCATTTTTTTATTCTTGTATCAATTGCAAAGCAAAGGGAAATCAAAAATTGATTATCAATGACCATGGAAGCCATGATGGAAGAAATTAACCTTTTGAGCAATTATCGGATAAAAAAGTGCAGAAACTTCAAAACGAGCTAAGCTATTTTGTAAAAAGGATACCGATCAAAAGCTAGACAAATACATGGCTAAAACCGATGAGTTGGAAAAACTACTTGACTGATTTAAATTCTATTTCTAAAGTTCTAGAAGTATGCAATTTATGCTTCTCAGTTTTTTTCATTAAAGATTTCATTGCACTTTAATTAATAATTTTTGTTGTCTGATTATATTTTCGT